CGAGGGTTACCGCGGCGTGGACATCCGCGACCTGAGCAGCTCCTTCCGGGACGGCCTGGCCTTCTGCGCCATCCTGCACCGGCACCGGCCAGACCTGCTGTGAGTGGTCGAGGGCAGGGGGCTGGCGGGCGGCGCGGGCCGGGGTGGGGTCCCCCGCCCCCCTCAGTGACGCGGAGCCCGGGCGGTGACAGGCACCACCCCTTGGAGCCAGGAGCGAGGGGCGCCCCGCCGGTCGCTGAGACCCCACTGCACAGGGTAGCTGGACCGACCCCACCAAACCCCTGGCCCCACCCACTGGTCCCTGGCTGCGCTCGCGCCCTGGTGCCTCTGGCCTGGGCACTGACCCCGCCCACAGGGCAGTAATTTCCGCCCCCAGGACCTTCCCGGTCTCCTTGACCTGCACTGAGTCTTCCTCTCAACTAAGGACACGGGGTCCAGGGGCTTGAGGCCCTCCCCCATAGGGCACCCCTCTGATGGTATAGAGGACCCTCACTTCTCTGATGCCCCTATGCAGACACTACTGAGCCGTGACCCTCAACCAACAATTGTTGGGTGAATGAATGCATCCTCTCCTTTCAGTTTAGGACCCAGACCTGCCCCCCAGAGGCGGAGACAGATCCAGGGTAGGGCGAGTGTGACAAGTGCCCCAGTAACACTTGAGGGGCTCGGCCCCTGAGCAGTTTCTATGAACCCTTGAAGTTTCCATCACCAGTTCTTGAGAGATCACCCAGCAAGTTAAAGCTAATATTCCACATTTGAGAGTCAGGACTGACTGTTTGGCTGTACTCTTGCTGTGTGTAGAAAGGGGAGAAACAGAATGATAAAAAAACCTGGGTGCATTGGAGACCAGTTTTCATCTGGTGAAAGCCAGTAAGGTGTAGCTGTCATGCTGCTGTAGCGTCCTAATGTGTTAGGGGTGCCCTGGTGGTGCAGTGGTGAAGCGCTGGCCTATGAGTTGAAAGGCCAGTGAGGGGGAACCCCCAGCTGCTCTGCAGAGGTCAGCTTGTGTCAACATATATTGTTGTTGTATTATTGTGTCCCACTGAGTCAGAACCGACCCATAGCTGACCCTGCAGCAGGTTTTCAGAGCCAGTTTAACCCTATGGGAGGAGATTGCCTAGCTTTCTCCCAAAAGGCAGCTGGTGGATTTGAACTGCCTGCCTTTGGGATTGTACCACTAGACCACTAGAGAACCCCTATGGGTGAAGTTCTGCTCTGTCCTCTGTAACTTACCTTCAGTGGGGAGTGGGGAGTGCTTCATTAAGTCAAAGATGAACGAGCTTGACTTACGTTTTTGAGCTGATCCCATGGTAAAGTGATCTGAAATGTGAGTGTTGGGTGTTCTGGGCAGGGGTGCAATTTCAGTGCTTGCCATAGGCACTGTTTTCCATAGATAGGCCTCTGCCTGCCTCCTCAAGCTGTTACATATACCATGGAGCGGGGACCCACCCATAGCTGACCCCCAGCGGGTTTTCAGAGGCAGTAAATCACCAGAGAGGAGATTGCCTGTCTACCTCTGACAGAGCAGCTTTTGGATTCGAACCGTGTGCCTTTGGCTTGGCAGTGCATCTCCTTACCACCAGACCGTATTCGTGGAGTGGTGCAGAGTGGTCTGAGACCAGCGCCTGCCCAGCTGCTGCAGTCTGTGAAACAGCCCTTCCTCCCCGCTGCCCAGCGTGGGTCTCTTGAGAAAGGGTATTCAAGGTCCAGAGTGAAGACACGGGGCTTCTGTCTTAGCCTCTTCTGGCTTGAGCCGTGGAACCTCTTCCTTCCTTTCATTCATTCTTTCATTCATTCATTCATAAAACTGGCTGAACTGTCAGGTGCCTGCCGTTTCTAGAGCTTTTGGCCTCTCAGCTGCAAACTGGGGCAAGAGTCGTGCCCCACCCCCACCCACCCCACCTTCCTGCCGACTGCCCTGCAGGGTTTGGTGTGTGATCTGTCTCCTGTTCTACCTCCGGAGGTGCCTTCCTCAGGGAAGGATGGGAAGGGCTCTAGGAAGGAGGACAGGAAGGCAGAGATGGCCCGGGGCACTCCACAGGCCTAGTGCACTTAGCTTCTCTGTCCTGTGCTGTACAGTAGCTGTGGGCGGTATGCAAGGCTGTGCTGGACCTGGAGGAGAGGGTTTGGAGGTTGTGGGCACAGCAGTGAACTAGGTGAGGGGGAGTCTGAAGCCTAGCTGAGGAGATGGAGGTGGATCCTTGGCAGCAAGGTGGCGGAGGATGGAGGAGAAAACACACGGGGTTGGTTTGGAGGAGCGTGTGTGTCCAAGGGGGGCTTGGTGCGTTTGAGGGCCAGCACTGAGGCATGAGGCAGGTGACAGGTCATGTGTGAAGGGACTTGCTGAGCTGTGTGCTGGACCTGAGCCTCTTGGGTTGTAACACAGGCTGCCTGGATGGTGTTCAGCTTCTCTGAGGTCCAGCGTGTGTGCTCCTGGGTGAGTCAGTGGGTCCCTCCAGGCATCAGTTTCCTCATCTGGAAAATGGGTTGTTTATTAGCCCTTGTTTATAGAGTTGTTGTGAGCACTGAATAAGCTAATAAAACATTCCGTGAACAGAGTTGTTGTTGGGTCCCATCTGGTTGGAGCTGACTCACAGCTGACCCCTCCAGCGGATTTTCAGAGGCAGTTAATTAATTACAGGGGAGGAGGAGCAGCTGGCAGATTCAAACCGTGTGCCTTGGGGTTGGCAGCTCAGTTCCCTACCATGAAGCCAGACAGATGTGTCTTAGAGAAAGTGCAGCCAGAGTGCTTCTTGGAACTAAAGGTGACGGAGCTTCGTCTCTCATGCCTTGGACATGTTGCCAGGTGAGGCTGTTCCTTGGAGAGGAACACCGTACTTAGAAAGATAGAGGGTCAGCAGAGGAGAGGTGATTCAGCGAGATGGGTTGACGCAGTGAGTGCAGCAGTGGGCTTGTGTACGTCGGATTCGGTGGGGATGGCACAGGACCGGGGCAGGGTTTAGTCTGTTCCTGGGGTCGCTGTGAGTCGTACTCGGTTTGCTGGCACCTCACAACAGCAGGCCATTGTTATAGTTCAGTAAGAGAGCTCTGGGGGAGTAGACTTTAGAACAGGGTGCTGCAGCCCCGAAGGCCAGGCTCTCTCTGCCCGTCGTGATCTGCCAACTGTTCAGTGGGAGAAAGATGAACAGTCGCCTTCCGTGCGATTTATAGCCTCCGAAACCCTGCTGGAGGGTCAGTATGGCTCAGTTCCTCTCATGAGATTTACAGCCTCGGAAGCTGTCAGCTATAAGTCAGTTCTGACTTGATGGCAGTGAGTTTTGCAGGGTTTTGTTATTGTTAAGTAAGAGCCTTGTAGGTGATACGACACAGTGTGAGGAGGAGCTGACTGCAGGGTCAGCGGTTTGAACCCAGCAGCTGCCCTCTGAGCGTCCTCCCGCGAACATTGACAGCCCCGGAAGCCCGGTGAAGAGGTGATGTGAGCTGGACCTGTCTTGACGGCTGTGGGTTTGGTTCAGTTTCCTTTACGGTTAAGTTGTAGTGTTACCAGGCAGTAGAAGGGGAGGTTTTAGTTCTTCATTTATCCAACAACTATTTATAGAGTTACTACTCAGTGTTCCACGCCGTGCCTAGTCACAGAGACCCACCGTCGGGACAGACAGAAAGCCCACACAGCCTCCCACAGTCTCTGGGAGGGAGAAACGTGTGAATAGTGCTGAGAATGGCATGGGAGAAGTGCTGTGCCCGAGGGCCAGGTTGGACAGGCCTTCAGGGGCATGGCAGGGACCAAGGAGGGACATGCTGGGCAGAGGAACCCCACCCCCAGAGCAGAGGTGAAGGGTGTGAAGCCATGGACAGTGGTGATGGACTGGAAAGTTCCATGGTGAAGGGGTAAGGGTCAGGAGTTACGTCTGGACCGGCTTCCTCCAGGACCTTTTCTTCTGGCCAAGGAGGAGGCAGACCCCCTGCAAAGGGGACCCTGACTGGAGAGCGGTGTGGCCAGAGGAGAGGTGTGGAGGAAAAGGGGGTGCCCCTGCTGAGGAGAGGGTCAGGACTGTGTGCAGCCCTGGCAAGGCAGGGCGATGCAGGAGAGAAACTGAGGCCCAGGTAAGGCATCCTGTGCTTTCTGGATGAGAAGAGAGGATACAGGTGGGATGGAGAAGGGGTGAGGCAAAGATTCATCTTTTGGAGTGGAGCGAGCGAGACTGAAGCTCCTGGAGCTGTGGACCCTGCCCGGCTGACTCCCGGAGGAGCCAGGCTGCTTCTGGCTGTGGTTCTGGGCCTGGGCCATGCCCTTTGCCCCACAGCCACTCGACACGGGGCGCGTGTGTGTTAGAGTGGAATGTTCTCTCGGGGGTTTTCTGTTTTGGGGACTGATTTCCCCCAGTAGATTGCCAAGCCTTTCTTCAAAATGCCTCTCACTGACGCTTGACTCCACCTGTTCCTCTCGAGCGCTTTCAGCTCCTTTAAAGGGATTTATGGGTTTCGTTTTGTGTCCTTCGTCTTAGTCTTCCCCAGAGCCAGGCAGAACTTCCCCTCTTTGAAAAAGTCTCAGAAATTTTCCAAGTTACCAAAACCCTGGCGCTGGTTAGGCAGTGAGGGCGCGCTGGGAAGAAGTTGGAGAACAGATTGTAGTTTCTTGGAGATTGACAGTGTTCGATGTTTATTCACTCAAGAAGCGTTTATGGGGTGAAGCTCCGTAGTGGTACAGAGAATTAAGCACTGGGCCGCTAGTGGTAAAGTTGGGGGGTTCAGACGTAGTTCTGATGGTGTTTTCATTATTCAGCTGCTCACCCAAGTGCAGCTTCTTGGAGGCGAGGATTATGACACTTCTCCTCACATACCTTGGGCATGCTGCTGGGAGGGGCTCTTCCTTGGAGAGGGACACCATGCTTGGGAAGGTGGGGGGTCAGAGAAGGCGCGGAAGATCCCCGACGAGCTGGATTGACACAGTGACTGAAGCGAGAGGCTCGAGTGTGTCAGACGATGAGGATGGCACCGGATAGGACAGGGTTCAGATCTGTTGTTGGCGGTTCGCAGCCATCACTCTCTGAGGAGGAGAGAAGAAGCAGTTGGCTCCCGTAAAGATTTGCAACCTTGGAGTCCCTCAGGGAGGTCCCAGTCTGTCCTGTAGGGTGGCCATGACTCAGTGGCAGTGGGTTTGCTTCTGGTTACTGAGTTCTGGGAGCTGACCAGAAGGTCGGTGGTTTGAATCGGCCAGCTGCTCCGGGGTGAGGGGAAAGATGAAGATTTACAGCCTCGGAAACCTGACAGAGTCGGAGTCAAGTCTGTGGCAGTGGGAAGAGGGAGATAGAGAGACAGAGACACATTATTTGTCTCATTCAAGCTTAGAACTAGCCTTTGTTGGAGACTAAGGAGTGTCCTTGGTTAGAAACCTGGGGCTTGGTGAGGATAAACAGCCCGCTGAAGGCCACATCCAGGCGACACAGAACAGGGCTTTGAGCGCAGTCAGCTTGGTGCCCCGAGTGTGGCACCTCCTTCCATGACCCTCCCTTCCCAGGACAGTTGTGGGAGACCAGAGAGAAAAGGCAGGATTAAAGGTAAAACAAATCCATGCTGGGAGAAGAGGGTGGCTGGCTGGAGTTAAGGGTCCAGGTCAGGGTGGACCTCAGCAGAGGCCTGGCCTCAGGTGCTCAGGGAGAGGCAGCTGGGGGAGTAGGGTGGGGCATGGCCAGGGGGACTCAGAGGGAACTGACTCACAGAAAGGCCCCGTGCTCTAGTCCCCCTGGTCCATCCAGTTCATTCCAGAGGCCCCCAGGCTATCCTTGCCTGCCTTCGTCCAAAGTTCATCGTACCTGTGTACCTGACCTCCGCCAGGTTGGCTGGGAGGTAGAAGGGGCTCCCTCCTGTCTCTGCGGCCCCCACTACACCCTCTCTACCAGCCTGGGACATACTTTGGAGTCTTCCCCAGTTTGCAGATGGGAAATGAGGATCTGAAAGCCTGCTGACCAGTCCAGGGTTACAGCAACCAGGAAGAGCAGGGCCTGGGACCCGGGCCTTAGAGACGCTGTGGCTTAGGGCCGCTCTGACCCTGTGGCCCTCACAACCCCTGAAAAGTTTTAGCCATAGAAGGCGAGGCTGTGCTGGGCACCCAGGAGGCCGCCAGGAGGGAGGCTGGGCTGCCTGTGTGATGTCAGCTGCTCCAGCCGCCAGCACAGGGCTGTGGAGGAGAGTGATGAATAAAGCCCAACAGGCCTGCCACCTGTCCCGTCACGTCACGGGGGACCCCCACTTCCAGGCTGTGAAGCCAGTCACCTGCCCTGGCTTGGAAACTGGGAGCCCCTTCCTGCACCCCTGATGGGAGATGTCACCAGGAGGGCTGGCCAGCTGTTCAATGCCAGCAGCTCTGGAATATGTATGACTTCCAATCTGGTTTAAACTTGTTCTTCTATTCCTGGCCCCATTAAAAGACACGTATTTATCTCCAGTCTGGGCCCTGTTAGGAATCTGGTAGGTGGTGTGGCTTTTCCAGGACTGTGATCTGCAGTGAAAAAGCCAGAAGTGTTGCTTCCTCCAGCCTCGGTTTCCTCATCTATAAAATGGCTTGGATACCATTCAGTTGCCCCTCTTAGCTAGTGTTTGCTGCTGTTTCAAAGCACGGGCTTTGGCGTCTGGGAAAGGAGTCTAGAATCTTAGCGCGGGCTTTGGTGTCTGGGAAAGGAGTCTAGAACCTTACAGAATTTTAAAACACAAAAGTTTTGACTTGCACTCCGCCCCCTCTGCTTGGATGCCTCCAGGGACCATGAGCTCATCCTCTGCTCCAGCGAGCAGCCCCAGCTCTGTGAGCCAGTGTTTCTTGCCTCAGTTTCTTCCTTTACCACCCACAGTCATCCCCCTGCCCCCAAGGTTATTGCTGGCTGAGTTGAAACCCCAAAAGCTCATTGCCAAGGAGTTGATTCATAGCAACCTTGCGAGACCAAGGAGAGCCGCACTCGGCCCTTCTGAGGCTGTAAACCTTTACAAAGTAGATCAATTCTTCCTTCTCCCTCAGAACCACTGGTGGTCTCAAATCGCCAGCTTTTACTTAGCGGCCGAGTGCTTTAAACACAGCACCGCCACAGCCCCCTTGGCCAGGTCCAGACCACCTCTGCTGGGCTCCCTCCTGACCGCACAGTCTGCTCCAGGTGGCTGTGTGCTGGCCCCGATCTGACTCATTCTCCTCTCATTTGTCTCTTACAGAGATTTCGATTCCCTTTCCAAGGACAATGTTTTTGAAAATAATCGCTTGGTAAGTCCCTGACAGATGGAAGCCCATGAGAGAGAGGAGAGAGAGAGAGAG